TGGTTGCAGATTTTTTTTAATGTTTTTTTTTTTTTTTTAAAGAGAGGATATGACTATACTGTTAATAATAAATATGTTTGTGTTATTAATTTACAGCTTGCCAAGAGATTTAATTTTACTGCAGCCTCCAGAAGGGCTTTTCAATCTGTACTGAACCCTTAACTGCTTAAAGTCACTATACAAATCTAAACTGATGATTTCTTTTTTTTTTTTTTTTTTCAGAATATTGCAGTATTTATTATAAATCATTGATCAGTGCATATCATTTTTTTATTTTTTTTATTTACTTGTAATCTTTAATCAAAACAACTTCCTCTAATCTGTTCTCTGATGATGCGTTTACTGGTTTGAGGGTGGGACAACATGTCGCTCACATGACATCACAGCAATAGAAAACCACAATGATCCAATCAAAATCAAGTCCAAATTATAGGCTACCTATATTCACTAACCTAGTCTATGGCAAGCCATTTTAGCTTAAATTGTATCCAACCTTACTTGTCATAATTGCATTTTTACCAGTAAGAATTCAATTAGAGAGCTTTACAATTTAATTCCTACTAGTAGCAATTACAATTATAGAGCTCTCTAATTAAATTCTTACTAATAACAATTATGATCAGAGAGCTCTCTAATTCGATTTTTACTAGTACGAATGTAATTGCAGAGCTCTTTAATTGAATTGCAGAGCTCTGCAAATGCATTCTTACTAGTAAGAATTCAATTAGAGAGCTCTCAAATCAGTTTTTTTTATAGTAAGAATTACAATTAGAGAGCTTTTTAATGCAATTATTACTAGTAAAAACTGATTTAGAGAGCTCTCTAATTCAATTCTTACTAGTAAGAATGCAATTGCAGAGCTCTGCAATTCAATTAGAGAGCTCTTTAATGCAATTGCTACTAGTAAAAATTCAATTAGAGAGCTCTACAATTCAATTCTTACTAGTAACAATTATATTTGTAGAGCTCTCTCAGTTTTTACTTGTAAGAATGCAATTACAGAGCTCTTTAATTAAATTACAGAGCTCCGCAATTATACATCTTTAATTTTTTTTTTTACTAGTAAAAATTTAATTAGAGAGCTCTAATTCTTACTAATTCTTAGCTAACAATTCAATTAAGCTCTCTTATTAAAAATGAATGGAAGTCAATGGAAACATATGACTAGTAAAAATTAATTTGTAGAACTCTAATTGCAATTGTTACTAAGAATTGAATTAGAGAGCTCTGTAATTGTAATTCTTACTAGTAATAATTGAATTAGAGAGCTCTCTAATTGTAATTCTTAGTAAGAATTTAATTGTAGAGCTCTCTAATTGTAATTGTTATGAATTGAATTGCAGAGCTCTCTATTGAATTGTTACTAAAAATGCAATTACAACGAGTAAGGCTTGGTACAATTTAAGCTAAAATGGCTTGCCATACTCAAGACTAGAGTAACCCAGGCTGCAGAATCACTTCTGCTTAATTTTAAACGTGAAACGACCATATAAAGTAATATGATCTACTGTATCCCTCTAAATAGTATACTTAACTTGACCCCCTTCTGCACATCTGGTTTTACTTTAAGGAGGTTGACTGGGATGTTTGTGATTTTTTTTGTAGGCTATAGCATTAAGAGCTCTAGACTGTCTTCCTCGTGTTACTGTCAGTTAGTTACACGTCACACGTCTCATAATTGTGTTGACTTATCCTTTCAACTCTGTGACCGCATATCGAAACCAGTGTGAAATGCCAAGTTAGTATCCTTAAATGCTCATGGATTTTCTCAGGCTTTATCGTTCTCGCTGCCATCGCTGACCATATGGAAATATGTTATATTGCCAAAACAAACACGGATATCAGTCAAGCGGCTCTAACATACACACTCGCTTCTGCCGTGTAAGTGACCGCTGACTGAAACAGTTAATGTGCCTCTTGCACATATATCAGCACTGTTCAAACATCTGTGTCGGATAAAGTTTGCATGTATTTTAGTAGGGAGAAAATGGCTAAAAATGCGAGACGGAAATACCAACAGAGACATTTTTCCCTCCCCCTTCAAGCTCCACAAACATTCCTGGAGTTGAACATGAGGCTTAGTTCACACTGCCTTTCCAACATGAATCTGCCGGTGATAGTGACCCGTCATCTGGACAGAGATGAGTAGCCTACTCTTCAGGAAACACTCATTAAAACAGATAGGCTAAGTTACATAAAAGGTGGTGTAACAGACCGTTTATAGACCGATACGTGAAACTCGCTCTGTAGCCTGTTTGAAGTTGACACGAAATATATTTTAAATATGTTTTGTTAATTCATAGTATTTAAATAAGGCTATTGTAAACGATCCATGTGTTTCTTTTTCTTTTCTTTTTTTAAATGCCCCTATGCTATTTTTAAAGGATCCTAGTTTTGTTTTTAGAGGTCTCCTAGGTTTACATGAATCAAAATCAAACATCACTTAAATTTTCTCATAAAATACATTGAAGCATCACCTCATATATATATATATATATATATATATATATATATCTTAGTTGAAAAACGTATACCTTATACTTACTTAAACCTATAAACTGAAGTTTAAAGCTGCAGTGTGTAGATTTTAGCGGCATCTATCGGTTTGGTTGCACTAAGGGCTCAGCCCACTGCTCACCCCTCCCTTTCCCTACAGTGGCTAAAACGGGACAAACATATCGTTGTCTGAGACAGCAGAGACTAGCCAGATTAACCCAAGTTTCTGTACCACAGTCCATAAACCACATCATGGATAAAGTTTACAAAGCCATAGTCAGGTGAGGATCAAGCTATTTAATATAATAATCAGTTGATTGTCTCTGTCTCACAAACGTATCAGCACATTTCTCCCCACATAGCAAACCCATACATCGAGGGAGAAGAACCACATGAACTATCCAACTATATATATTGGTTCTGGTTTTGAAAACTCTTCGCGCTCGACTTGAAATGCTTCGAAGATCGACTTGTCGACCGTGATCAACAGGTTGGTAATTCCTGTAACGTTACTGTTTTACAGTCAATAGTACTAATCAGCTGTCTCAATAACCAGCACATTTATCCTCACATAACAAAGCCATAACACAGCGAAGGAGAAGAACTAAGTTACATGAAACAGTCCAACTACATATTTTACACCACTGACAAGGCAAAAGTACATACTCATGGTGTCTATGGCTAGCTTCTAGCTTTTTGCGGCTTCTCTTTCAAGGTTTTAACGAAACGCACTCTGTAATGTTTGTTCATTGTCGGCTACGGTAAAAACGTTACGTCACAATATGTCGACCTTTATAGAAGGGGGTGCAAGCGGTTAATATGTAGATATAAGTCTCATTCTAAGGTAATAAAAAATAATGGTCCATTGAGGAAGGTCTTTATACACCACTGAACACTATAGTCATGGATCTTATATTGCATTTCTGTCAATAGATCCTCAGAAATATTACAAAATGCACCTTTAAAACTGATATAAAAATAAATAAAATGCATAGCAATGATAAAATGACAAAAACATATCACTTAAAAAAAAATTAACAAGAAAACTAAAGTATAAAAATAAAAGACTTTCCGTCTGAACAGCTTTATTAAAGCATTGCACATTACTCATTTTTGATGAGAACAAATATATATATATATATATATATATATGTGTGTGTGTGTGTGTATGTATTTAGAAAGGAGGATTGTAACATTAAGACTATGTTAAAATCCTCCTTTCTTCTTCACCTGAGGCCATAGATGGGCTATATTCATGGTTTACTACTCCCTTGAAAGGCCTGGAAACTTCCTCCAAACACTTTGCATTCTAAATAACCCAGCCATTCATTTGAAATCAGCAGATCTAAATGCTTGCTTAGTGACCCTTTAATTCCCTCATGACTGGTGGCTATTTTGTCCCTCGAACACCCCTCTGTGGAGACAGTTGCTCGGGAGATTCTCACCCAATTCTCCAGCCCATCACACATTCAAAGATTTGTTTCCTTAATGATCTGGCAGGTACTAACCCCATATGTGCCGTTATTTTGGAAGACCTTCCATGATCCCTTCCATTTAAAACCAGGATCCTCAGGATCAATGACATCAAACACTGGATTAAAGCATCATATTCTTGTTAATACATCACATGGATGATGTCAGTGGAACACAGTTGTTGAGTGTTTGCTCTGAGTATTGTCTGACTATTGTCTGACGGCTCCCTCTAGTGGAAAACATCAGAAGCACAATAAAAAGCAGCAGACTAATATATAATACCTTCAAATTCATGTCTTTCAAATGTCACCATTTGATTATCGTTTTCTCTCTGGAAAATATTTCATAGTGTCTTCTAGTGGATATTGAGCTCCAAAATGTGTCCCATGCAAGTGATACCACGATGCAAGTAGTTCAACAATACATCAACATCAAAACAATATCAAACAACATCATTGGTTCCAATCGGCATTGATTTCAAACCTGCTGTGATGTGTCCTAGCACCATATTTGACACCCCACTGTGCAAAAGATTGGGGTCAGTAAGGAGTTTAATATATTTAATACTTTTTAGCAAGAACGCATGAAATCAAAATGGATTTTTCGAATCATAATTAACCGAAATCTTTTCACAAAACTGGAATTTCAAAACAGTTTTCAACATGGATAATATGATATTACTGAAAAACACCAGAGTAATGGCTACTGAAAATTTAGCTTTGCCTACATTTTAAAAAAATTGTTTAAAGATATTTCAATCGTGACAACTCTCTGAATAGTTTTAGTATATGTTTAGTTATTTTTATGTTATGTTATATTATTTTTATTATTTATTTATTTTTAGTTATTGAATATTGCAATGTTAATGTATTTGGTCTTGGTAGACTAGATCGCTGCTGCTTCAGAGCAAGTATTGATAAACAGACGCGCTGCTGTGAGTATGTAAGATATGTTGCTGCTGCATAAATAGACATACATCATACCGGTGGGTCTGGAAGGACGAAGTGAAGTAAAAAAAACAACAATCCACAAAATATTTCTAGTCAAATTTACTGGAGGCAAAACAGTCACATTCATATAATACATATGAACCTTCAATCATGTACTACTTTCTGTTTTTTCTCTTTGTCTGGCTGTCTACAAGAAGCAAACTACCACCTACATTAAGACTCAAATATTAACCGTAATCCTTTAAGACTCCCTAAACTCTGGAAAAGCAATCGACCTTTCAAAATTTGGTTAAATAAATCATCTGCTAAGTGCATAAACTGCATATACATATGAAAAGCACACATTCAAAAACAAATAAACAAACAAAAAAATCTGTAGGAATGGGTACAAATTCTTTCAGCAATTACTTGGCACTCAGAAAAAAAGGCACAAGCGCTATATCAAAAGGCAAAGCAAGAATGAACAAGCCAGCTGACTTACTGAGTCTAAGTTATCGGCAGTGCATGAAAGGCAATGACATTACACCAGTAAAAAAAATAAAAAAAAATAATACAGAGCAGGTTTTTGAAGTTGCAACACTCATATATTACAAAGCTATGAAAATGAATGTATCAAAAAAAGACGTCAGATTTTTTTTTTTCTGAAAAGAAAAAAAAAAAACAGTTCCTTTCACTATGAATTCAGGTCATCTCTTCATATGAAGAATCCTGCTCACTTTAGTCTTTAGCAAAACTATGAAAAGAGAAAACAGAAGACAATAAATACAGTATCCAAAACATGTTTCCCCTCGCCCCTGTAAATCAAGAACAATAACTAGTGGAATATATTGAATATCAAAACATTTACCTCCAAAACAAAATAGCAGAACTGCAAGATATTTAAATTATTCTCGTCGCTTGATAAACTTAAGGTTGAGCCACTGTAGTCACTCGGACTACTTTAACGATGTCTTTAATAACTTTTGTGCCAGCCAGATTTGGTCCCTTAAAGGGATACTCCACTTTTTTTGGAAATAGGCTCATTTTACAACTCGCCCAGAGTTAAACAGTTGAGTTTTACCTTTTTTGAATCCATTCAGCCGATTTTCTGATATTAAGAAGATTATATCAGTAACCAGACAGTTTCTGGTCTCATTGACCTCCATAGTAATCAACTGGTAATCAATGAGACCAGAAACTGGTTACTGATATTCTTCTAAATATCAGAAAATTGGCTGAATGGATGGATTTGAAAACGGTAAAACTTAACTGTTTAACTCTGGGGGAGTTGTAAAAGGAGCCAATTTCCCCCAAAAAAGTGGAGTATCCCTTTAAGAAGCCTATGGAAGAGTGATCCAGCTCTCAGATTTAATCAAAAATATCTTTTTCCATGTCCCGAAGATGAACGAAAGTCTTACGGGGTTGGAACAACATGAGAAAGAGTAATTACTGACAGCACTTTCATTTTGGGGTGAGCTAACCCTTAAAGTTTATCAGTCGCATAAATGGATTTGACAGTTTTTATGTCTTCAGTAACTCAGATTACTCTGAATACTGCAATGCGTGTAGGGTAATCTTACCTTCCACCGGTTTCCACACTCGTTGCACAGCACGAAGGTGGTCATGGGTTCATCTGCACTGCGTGTCTGGACCTGCGGGGAGAGACTTTGCGTTACATTCCTGCTCGTTTCACGCTTCAACGCAGCTTTAGCCCACTTGCAAACTTCCTTTCAGACTTGCAAACGGATCAAAGCACAGAAATGTGAAGCTTTATGCGTTTCAGAAACTTGATCCGCCCCCATTTTCTTTTTTAAAGCGTGGCTTAACCCTCTGTGTACAAATACTCGTGTAATCTACTGCGGTGTCACGCTCAGATTGTTAGCTGGGGTTTTTTTATAATGATGTATAAACGTTTCTGGTTATGAAACGGTCATAAAAGCTTGTGAGAAGTTGTTCACAGCATACCTGAGTGTAAGTGCAGTTCTTGCCCCTGCATTTTCCACAGATGAACATGTCAGTCTCCGTGCCGCCCACTTTGGAGAGCTGATGCTCTCGAATGGACTCCTTGGTCAGCGCTTTCCTGATCTCTTTCAGCTCTGCGCTTGCCATCTCCTGTCAAACACGCAATTTACACAAAAACGCTTCACATCCTGCAGAGAAGCTGCACTTTACTAGACCTTAAATGGCAGATAGTCTTTTCTTTCCAATTGTCACTTATATTGGAGTGAGACCAATCGAACCAGAAAAAGAAATCTAGGGCAGGACTTGATGATGTCAATTGCCAAGCCAAAATCAGATCCAGACGTACCTCTGCTGTCATACTGGCGATGCGGTCAGGCGAGATGTTGCCACACAAGACGTTCCGGCGTAAGTCTGGGTTTTTCTGGTCCTTGAGGTTGGAAATGCGACTCCTCAGTCTGGTCTTGTACTTTATGTCAGTGGATTTAAACTCCTGGTAGATACGTGTGCCATGAAGTCCAGTCAAGGAAGCACTAAGTCATTATTTTACTTTCTCCTTTCAAGGGGAAGCCTTGAAATTTGCATATTTATATATATATATATATGCAGAGACTACAGCAAGTAAACCCATTCGTTGGTGGCTTTCAAAGAAAAGTGTTGAGCCATCAAAACACTGTTTGGGGTAATAGGTCAAGGTTTGGCTGATTATCATGACCCCTGCTGGTAGATGGGTAGAACTACACAATTTGCAGGCAAAATGTATCTTTATCTATTCAGTTTTTGTGTATTCAAAATAAAAGTTTGGGGTCAGTGCGTTTTTCAAGGATATAATCTTCAATCTGCGCAGCCAGGTGTTCACAGTCTGCTCCGATTGTCTGGTGATCACCTGAGAAAAATATACAAAGAATAACTTCCTTAAAATGTAAAAACCAGTTTATGCTTAAGTTAACATGCCCCTATTATGCCATTTTAATTGTTTCTAATTTTATTTTGGAGGTCTCCTACAGTCCAGTCTGCTGCGATTGGTCTACTGCTTGCAAGCACGTGTCAGAAAAGAAATACTTATTATCTGAATTTCAGCAGCTTCCTCGGCGCTTGATACAAATTGTTACGGTGGTGCTGGTTTTTCCATATTAATCCCAACTCGAATCCTCATCCCTTACAGCGCTCAGTTACAACCACAGTGTTTGAGGACGTCATTCGCAGGCAGCCAATGAAGACCATAGGCTGGCATTATGCTAAATTGTTATGTAGGTATTTAACAGGAAGTGAGACTGGAATTGCTGATGACTTGTTTCAACAGTTTAGAACTGATTATTTCTATTAGGAGACAACAACTCTATTCGACATGCACTTTGATCTTTAAAACTTTTCAAATCTTTCACGTTCACAAACAGCTATACAGCACTTGCTATGGTATTCTGCCATACAATATAGTTATCCACTTTACACGCTTAGAAAAGCGCAACGTTTTATTTTGTGTCACCGTCCTAGGTCGAGTTACTCTACTCGTGTAACTGTATTTAAATAGGGAAAACGTGGAGGTGTTTGGTCGCTTCTCTGCTTGGCCCATATTGAATGAACTGGGCTAAGCTAAGTGCCAGAGCGATTGAGTACACGCCTTGAGATGACAGAACTCATCTTAGTTAAGGGAATAACAGTTTAATATGAAAAAACGGTTGAGTATACCTTTAAGGTCAAAACCAATATTTATGACAAATGTGAACATGTTGTACTTGACTTTCACAAAAAAAAAAATATATTTTATATTAGAAATGTATATTTCTAAATATTAAATAACTAAAACTCTATTCAAATACACTGTGTAGCTGAAATTTGACTGAATTGAGTAAAACCATTCCATCCAAATAGCGAGCGTAACTTAATTTCACAGTTAGAGTTCATGTAACTTTGTTTAATTAAGTTCAATGAATTTTCATTTATAATGGAGTAAAATGAACGTACAGTTGCTTAGCTTAATTTTGTTCATGGCTTACCATCAGTCTGTAGGGCCGCCACCAGCAGCTCTCGGCACTTAGTGCGCACGCTGTCTGTCGTGACGGGTGCAGGGGGAAAGGAGGTGAATTTTGGGGTCACTGGGGTGGTGGGAGTTTTTGGCGTCTCTTGTTTGCCACTAGTAAACGAGAGGAAACAATTCACTGTTTTGTAAAACGTTACTTTATTTGCCACAATTACTTTAATAGGCTTAAGAAGTTGCTATCTAAAGAATAAATGTTAAATTTTTCCTGCATTTTAGTAAATGAAAATTAAATAATAAAGTGCGATATGTACAGTCAAACCAAAATTTGTTCTGACACCTTCAACATTTCTCACATTATCAATTTTATTCTCTATAGTTTAGACAAAGGTAATAATATATGACAAGAACTATGTCACAGTTTACTTTATTTTGCTATACTCACTTACATAAATTAACTAGTGTCCACTAGTTAAAAAAAATGTAAAAAATTATATCTGATATCATAATAATTTTTGGTTTTACTGTATATACAGTGGGTACAGAAAGTATTCAGACCCCCTTAAATTGTTCACTCTTTGTTATATTGCAGCTATTTGCTAAAATCATTTAAGTTCATTTTTTTCCCTCATTATTATACACACAGCACCCCATATTGACAGAAAAACACAGAACTGTTGACATTTTTGCACATTTATTTAAAAAAAAAAACTGAAAGGGCTCTGCCTGGGCCATTCAAGAACAGCCACGGAGTTGTTGTAAAGCCACTCCTTCGTTATTTTAGCGGTGTGCTTAGGGTCATTGTCTTGTTGGAAGGTGAACCTTCGGCCCAGTCTGAGGTCCAGAGCACTCTGGAAAAGGTTTTGAATCTTATTCATCACCATCTTGGACTCCTTCAGGGTTCTTCTTTCCCTCTCTCACCAAAGCTCTTCTCCCCCGATAGCTCAGTTTGGCCGGACGGCCAGCTCTAGTAAAGGTTCTGGTCGTCCCAAACGTCTTCCATTTAAGGATTATGGAGACCACTGTGCTCTTAGGAACCTTAAGTGCAGCAGAATTTTTTTTGTAACCTTGTCCAGATCTGTGCCTTGCCACAATTCTGTCTCTGAGCTCTTCAGGCAGTTCCTTTGACCTCATGATTCTCATTTGCTCTGACGTGCACTGTGAGCTGTAAGGTCTTATATAGACAGGTGTGTGGCTTTCCTAATCAAGTCCAATCAGTATAATCAAACACAGCTGGACTCAAATGAAGGTGTAGACCCATCTCAAGGATGATCAGAAGAAATAGGCAGCACCCGAGTTAAATATATGAGTGTCACAGCAAAGGGTCTGAATACTTAGGTCCATGTGATATTTCAGTTTTTCTTTTTTAATAAATGTGCAAAAATGTCAACAATTCTGATTTTTCTGTCAATATGGGGTGCTGTGTGTACAATAATGAGGGGAAAAAATAAAACGAACTTAAATGATTTCAACAAATGGCTGCAAAATAACAAAGAGTGAACAATTTAAGGGGGTCTGAATACTTTCCGTACCCACTGTTTATCTGCAGTTCTGACTTTTTTCCTTGCAATTACAATCTTATACCCAGCAATTTTGACGTAGCAATTTCCTCTTATTTTTTATTCAGAGGTGAAAACAAGCTTCCATAGAATTGTTCACAATAAGATCCATTAATATGCATTTACAAAATAGATCCCACACACCTGGAGTCACTGGATCCAGGACAGTCTTTAGAAGACGAGGACTGGAGAGGAGATCCACCTTTTTTCTTTTCCTCTGATTTAGCCTCAGAACCATCTACATGAAAGAAGATTCACAATCCAGCTTTAACACTATACAAACTCATTGTACAACAACTCACTTGTAAAATCCTTAATATAATAAGAGCAAGAAAGCAAACAGACAGCAGCCTTGTGCCACCACTTTTTAAAATGGAAATCTTCAGTCTCCTCCTCAATCATTTTCATTCACTCAGAAAGAAGGGTAACGCTTGTCTAAAAGGTCTTGTCCGGGTGTGAATGGAGATGCAGTACCCAGCAGTTTCTTCCAGGTCTTGATGAGTGATTTGGCCAGTGTCTGCACCTCCTCTTCCGAGCTCTGCTTCCGCACTGCATTCACTGACATCCCGATCCGTGTCGACTGCAACGTAGGCCACATTGGAACAATGGGAAGATCATATTGGTTATAATAAATTTAACAGTGGACTATCACAACATCCAATTTGTGATATATTGTAACTTGATACATTTTGTAACAATTACGATCCAATTACTAAGCTTTGACTAACTGGTCACTCTTCTGCTCTAAAATGCTCAAAAGAGAGGGGATCGTAAGTAAATAAAAGATTGAGCAAAGTTTTTGACCAACATTGAGTATTAGGCATGATATCCTTCACAATTCTAATCACATTACATCAGGCATTGATCAGAAAAGACTAAAGACCCCGATAATTATTAACATTATAGTTCTAAAAAATATATATCATTCTAAATGAATAGCAGAGTAATAACAGAGGGATGAATATGTTGGAACCACTTTCAAAACTATTTGTTTTCAGCTGATGAACGATAAAAACTCTGACAGCCAATCCTGCTTTTAAGAGCTTGAGCATTTGAAGCGACGTAAACTGCAGCGCGTGCTATAAACAAAACAATTTCGTCCGCTGGTGTGGACGCTAATATAGTTATATCAGTCTCTTTACAGTTGTCATTCTTAGCGTGAAGGGGCCTTAAACAAATGCGTTTTCTGCAGTGTATTAAGTTTTCATCCGCATGTAGCTGCTTAACTCCACTCATAGATACATACTGAACACAAGTAAACGAACCTTTATAACATGCGTATAAAGGAGAAAAATGTATCGAATACCACATTTGAAAAAGATATATAATAAGATATATATATAGTTTGCATTTTTTTTTTTAAATCCTGTATTTATAATCAAAGTCAAATGAGTCAAAAAAAAAGACAGGATTGATTGATCACAATAGAAATGGAAGGTCGAGCACATTGCATCGTGGTATATACTATGCAATATCCTGTATACTGCACTTTTTGACAAATCTAATTTATCCAGATACTCTACTACATAGATTGCATACTACACACTGTGGAAATAGCACAATCAGTCATATAGCCAATAAGAACAAACGCATGGGATTCCATGACTGGAAGAGAAAGAGATTATGTAATCCAACACAGCACATGCTCTTGTCTCCAGTCCAGCTGAGATACCTGTAGGGTCTCTAAAGACATCTTCATGTTCTTCAGCTCCCGAAGCAGGTCAATAGCACCATCCTGAAGATAAAAACACATCGAGGTGAAAAGACAGTTACACAACAACTTCTAAAATGCATTCGTAAACACTGGCTTCTTCTACTATAGGTTGGATCATATAATAACACAGACAGTCTGCACATAAATGAATGTGTGTTTTGGGACATAACTGGGACTGACTGGCGTTAAGTGTTGGATAAATGAGTCTTTTGTTTCCGCGGGAGAAATTTGGAGAACAACCAGCTGCCAGCTCATCACAGTATACACAAACGCTTCAAACATGAGAGGATAAACGCCAAATGTGTGATTGTGCATGAAGATTGACCAATACGAGCCCGGTGGTTGACTGAATGAGGATGAAACAGGTAATAATCACAGTTAGCTAGATCTCGTGCTTGTTTATGAAGACAAACAGAAAAGAGCGCGTGGATGAAATCAATAACGTTAGTTCTTCACTGTACGTTTTTTTTTCAGATGCTAGTTATAAAGAAATATGTCACACTTACAGTGTTTTTCTTGTGCACCATTTTGTCCAGCTTCTTGGCGATGCGCTCCACTTCTTGGTCCTTCGCCATGTTTACAGGTTTAGGGCCGTTTGATGGCGCCCGATGGACGTGTCTCCATTTATGTGTGAAAATGCGCCCGTCTCTCTGTGTGTGTGTGTGTCTCTTTTAGTGGCAGTATGAGAGGAATCCACTGCCTTTCTCTCGCTCTCGTCTGTTGTTTAGCGATGACTGATTCGCGAGCGAATTGTTCTTTTGAATCGAATCTTTTCAAACGAACTGTTCATAAAATCGCTTTGAACGACTCGTTTACGAATCAGACTGAATCAGTTAGAGTGAGTCAATTAACTTAACGTTACACACCGACACAGGAAACCAAGAACAGCGTCTTTTTCAGTCATGTTTAATTCGTAAATGAGCCAAGAGGAGAGGAGCGAAATTACAGCAAGGATATTTGAATGACAAATGAGGCGAAAGGTAGGTTATTTTAATGTTAAAATATTATGTAATTTAAATGTTTAAGGAGTTAACTATAAGGCGGGTTCATTTACATAATTGATGTGTTCTAGTTAAGTTTGTTGCAGTCATTATACATTCATCACAACACATTTGATATAAATTTGATAGACCGCTGATAGACTGTTATACAGAGCATTGTGGAAATGGCCGTCATTCTCAAAATGTTTAAAGAGTTAACTATATGGCGGGTTCATTTACATAATTGATGTGTTCTAGTTAAGTTTGTTGCAGTCATTACATTCATTACAACACATTTGATATCAATGTGATTGTTGATCGTTGATAGAATGTTATAGGCTACAGAGCATTATGGAAATGGAAATCATTCTCAAAAATTCAATGATTCAAAAATTACTGATTTTTTTTTTTTTTTTTTTTTTTTTTAGAACCGGTTGTGTCAGTGTGCTGTTCGAAAGAACCGATTCGCGGAAATGAGATGAGACTGGCCGTGTCTCCTGTTGTGAACCATGGTTGTGAAGCAGGGCGTCATGGGAAGTGAAGTCTCTTCCAGCTCAGCAACAAGGTTGTGAATCAAACAGCTTTTTAAATACATACATTACATACATACATGCATACATACAACATGCATACATACATTTCTGAACAAACATTTTTAACAATTCTAATATTTTGTTTTGACATATTTTATAAACAACTTTGAAGTTACATTTTGGTAACAGAGTCAATAGTCAAACTTTTTTTTTTTTTTTTTCGTTTTTTACATATATATTTATTTTAATTTTATATAGCCTAAGTAGATAAATTGGGAATGTGACCATACCATGACAATAGTTTGTTTAACATTTAATTTTACATATACTGAATTTCTTTTACTGACAGCTACAGTAAAATAGCATACAGTATCAAGCCAAGTCTCGACATCATGATAAGGAATGATAATAATAATAAAAAAAATGTGTTCACTCTATACTGCGAAATAAGAACATATTTTGGCCTACTACAGTGTGTTGCTTGAACAGGTTTTAATTTAGACTGGCTCAGTAGAGGGCGTCATTGTAGCAAAAGTGCTAAAGTATTTAGACCTCAGTCTAAACCACAATTTAAAATGCATGAATTTCATTTGAGTAAAATGCTAAACCAAGTGAAATTTACTTTTAGCCATACATTGTCTTAACGTCAACTTTGAATTGTGTTTGGTAAAGAATATGACTTGTATTAAGCATTCAACATTGTAGAACGTCACCCACTCAGGTTTGGAATGTAAATTTAAGGAGAGAAGTGAGTTTCTGATTGGACACAATGTAGTTGTATCAAAAATTATTTTTTCATCAAATAAAGATAATATCGGAAGTGGGTTCGATTCAGAAGTCGCAGTGCTAAGTCAAGTCAGTGATTCACCTAAAGCAAGTCAAGTCGAATTCTTCTAAGGATCAAGTCAAGTTACAATACCAACCAGAAACAAGAACCTTCTTTATTTTTTCTTATTGTTATATTACAATTATTGTTATATTATATTATTGTTACTTAAAGAAAAATTATAAGAAAAATTGTGAAAACAGTTGAAGGTAAATTCACAAGTGTGATGCATTAATTTTATTTGTCATATATAGAAAATGTCATAGGTTTAACTTATTTATGAATTTATGAAATATCACCTACAGGGATTTCAGGGACGTGGTACATTTGTTTAAAAATCGTATAAATGCCCCACACTCCTCAAAAGGCTCACCAGCATGGGGCAATAGGCACAACGTATTTACACAAATACTTTAGCTAAAATTATATATTTTAATTATTTAGTTAATACTAAAGTTAATACTAGATAATACAAAGTTAGTTCAAAACAATCACTTTTGCAAAGTTTGTATTTTCGGTTTATTTTGATAAACAAAATAATTAATTTGTGTTCAGTAAATAATGTCACCATAAATACCATACTGTCATTAAATATGTTAATTTTAAAAATACAGAAACAAAAAGTAAAAATTCTGTGAAATCCTGCAATAATTTAACATTGCTAGTTTTAAAGTAATAACAAATAAATTATTTTATTATATGAAATGATTAATAAAATATTATTCCCTACTTTTAATTATGAAATTAAAACTGCCAGTAGGTGGTGGCCATTCACTGTCTTAATAAATGAGTTACTGAAACATTCACTGATTCTTTTAAAACGGCTTCTGGAACAAATCAATTGACTGGGTCACAGAATCACTGAACCAATTAATTCAAAATCTCGGATTTGTTTAGTAACAAAACAACACGTGTTGCTTGCTTGCTGTGGAGACGCCTAACTCTTTTGCTGTGGCTTGTTTAGAACTTGTTGTTGGAGAATTTTTTTTTTTTCCTCACCCTCATGTCATTCCAAATTAAGATTTTTTTTTATGGAATGAGAGATTTCTGTCCCTTCATTCACAGCTCTGTAACTACGCTTCTAAAAGTTAAAGAGATCGTAAAAATAATCCATATCAATCAAGTGGTTTAGTCCAAATTTTCTAAAGAGACTTGATCTCTTTATATGATGAACAGATTGTGTTCACATCAAGCTCAACCACTTGCAAGAAAAAACCTCATTGATTCTTGCTGAAGCTCAAACATGCTGCTCATTGGTTGATGCCACATGTTTGAGCTTCTGTTTACCACAACTGATGTGTCTCTTCAGAAATTTTGGACTAAACCGCTCAATTCACATGGATTAGTTGTTTTATGACCTCTTTATCAACTTTTTGAAGCAGTAGCTGTCAATGGAGGGACAGAAAGCTCTCTCAGAAATCTCTGAAGAAAAAGATCTTCATCTGTGTTCCGAAGATGAACGAAAGTCTTACGGGTTTGGAACGACATCAGGGTGAGTAAATGATGACAGAAGTTTCATTTTTGGGTTAAATATCATTTAACTGTGCAACTCGAGTCAATTCATGTGACTCAAGCCCTCCACCTCTGGAAAATATTACATTCACATATTGTTCTGACTGTTGAGCAGCATCTGTTGGTTTTTAAAGCCGATCGATACAGATTTTAACATGTCACGTGACACGGAAGGCAATATATTGTGATAAGCTGAATCAGAGTGTTACTGTTACCCACTGTTAGGTGCACATACCGGGGTTAAAACCTCCATATATGAGTGAAGGTGACAGCATGGCATGTTCTCCAGCTGAGGAAACCCCACCTCAGCAATGAGGGAATGTGTTCAGAGGGGGGGGGGGAAGTCCCCGAAACAGCCAGCTCAGGCCTCAGTCACTCGGGCAGGAAACCCGGTCTTCATCACCCTGCTGAGGTCATCTCTGATTATAACTGAACCGGGATAAGGCAGCTCGATCGGCTCGCTAGAGCATGCCCTGTTCCTGCCATACATTCCCTTTTTAGAGGGTTACAGGCGGTGCCATTCTTACTTTGGACTTTTGTGTGGTTTAGAAATGTGCTGATTGATTGAGATGTGTGTTTATTTCACTCGGCTTATCAGTGTGAGGCTGTTGCCGACCATTAATCTGTCATTACGAGACATGGGGTCAAACTAATCTTAAATAGAGAAATTACAGATTGTCATATTAAAAAAGAAAAAATTAAGAACACTTCTTCATAATATTTCACAACAGTTTTGACTTAAGGACATTAATGATCAGCACCTTTTAACCCTAGAATGCGTGAACAAAAGAAAACTTATGAATGCATGAAGGTGGTCAAAATTGCCATGTATTGGGAAAAGATAAATAAATAAATAGGTGTCATATTAATTAAATAATTAAAACAATTTATTATACACAAATGTTTTAATAAATGGGTTTTTTTAAAGTACGAAGAATATGTTTTAGATATGTATATATATTTTTTGTCTTGATAAATTTTCATACAAATATTTCATAAACACCTTTGACTGTTTATTTTTTGTAATAGTCATTTAATTGATTTTTTTTAAGTTTAATTTAAAAACTCTCATTTAAAAAAAAAAAAAAATAACCGCTACATAAATAAGTCATACAACAATAGCTGGCTTAAGTTCACAGTTTACATGTTACATAATTGTTTTATTAATGTTGCTATATAACTGTATAGATAGTATTCATTATCTATTAGGCATAAAGTAGGCATATTCTTATGGTTATAACAACCAAACCAAGGTTATGATGATAACATTTAGATATTTTAGGTATCAAATAACATTGATATGGTTTTGTTTTTCTAAGCATATGCATATAAGGAACAAAAGATCTCATAAGGATATGGATACTACCTGTGCCTATACTTTATAATAAACAATCATGTTATCTTCCAAATATGATTAAATAGTTATATAGGATTATTAATAAAGCATATGTAGTACGATTAATATAGCCAATGTGTTTCCGTACTGCCATTGAACTGCTATGTATATAATGTACTGTGTTTAAAAGCTTCTCTTAAGAATCCCTGTTCAGTTTAATAGTTTCAAGCATGCAACATTTGTTTAGCTCTGCTTAAAGCACACAGGAGAACAGAGCTGTGTGTGTGTTTGAGTTGGAGAAAGAGAACGCGAGAGAGTGACATCTCATGCAGGCAATATCATGTGTGCTGAGTTTAAACAGATCACTCTGTCAATAAGCACTTTCAAATTGAAATCAGATGCTGACCACTTCTAGCCCCAAACTTACATCCTCTTTACAGTCACAGAGGAAATGTAACATTGAGGGAGTGCGACCTGTCCAGTGCAGTCGAAAAGCCCATGTATAATTGCAAACAGTTTTAGTAAGAAACCCAGGGCTTGGAATATCATCATATGTGCTGT